AGCGAGGCGTCGCCTGCTCTGTGACCACGACGGCACGACAACGTTTTGCAGCGCGGTGTGGTGTCCCACCGGAGTTCGCGTTTATCTTTCCACCAATGCCTCCCGCTGACTCCGTACCAGCCTCTAAAACCCTCATGCTTTTTTTCTTTTTTTTTTGAGTAGGGGTTGGTATTTAATACAAATATAACGCTTCTTTCTTATTCACCGAAAAAAAAAATTGCGGTTTATTTTAAGTTTAAGAAATTATTACAGTTGTTTTCACCGCAAAAATAAACTACGCACCGCCGACCCCTCTTTCTCGGGAGTAAAAACAGCGCAAAAGACGTAGGGCCAGACGAAGAAGTAACACGGACACAGCGCTGACTTACAACTGAGTTTATTGACCGCAAAATCGGAATATATCAGATTTGTGCCTATCTCAAATACTCTACTCAAGATACTGTATCTTAAATGCTTTTTGAAGCATCTTGGTATCTTGCGAATACCTTTGATAGAGAGTATTTCATATTCTATTTTAATTACAATTCCGAGTATCTTGTACTAATTATCTTAAATACAATTTTGACATTCCGCTATTTTCTGAGTTTTTCGGTATTAAGGGGCGTGCGGCCGTGGCACGAGCAAACGTGAACATTCTTTCGAGAAACCAAATCCTGTTGCTAGCTCCGAGTAGCTAAGGTTACTTAGATCGAGCTCGTGAAAACATCGCTTATTTGCCGATTGTGACTTATATTTCAGCCCGAAGTTCGTACAATGAAGGTTCTCCCCTCGCCTTCCCAAAGGCGCCTTTTGTTTCTATAGTTTCCCCCCCAAAAAATCCTCAAAAAGAAAGGTGTGCTTTTACGGAAGTAAAAATGCCACTCTGAGGCGCAACGCAGACTAGTAAACGACCTACGACAACAATACAGAGTTGAGTGTCAAGAAAATAACTAATAAAAGAAAATAAGGAGTGGGAATATAAACATTTTTGTTTTGCTTTTTGTATATTTGACCCCGCTAGGACAAAGCGTCGAGGATTCTTTTTTTTTTTGTGATGTCAGTCCGGCACCTATGGCTCTCGCGAACGCTGTCTGTAAGCACAGGAAACAAACTACGAGCTGGATGACCTCTCAAAATGCCAACAAAGTGTCCCCCAACGTTGAGTGGCTTTCTGAACGCAACCTACTTCAAGAAGGTGCGACCACTGCCGTGACTATTATGTAGGTTCTCTTTGTTATCCATTCACTCATACTCGTGTCCGAAGTTCGATTATAGTGAACTCCCCATACACAGAATATAGATTGTAGTTAAACAATGCGTCTAACGTGCGCCGCAGGACGTGATATTCAGCGATGTCACTATTGGCGAAGCGCTCTGACCCGTTTGTCAACCCCACACCTCGGTGTTCACCTCACCCCAGGCCTGTGCACATGCCCACAGACCTTGTGGGCATGTTAATGTCATTTTTGTTAATAGAGCGCGGGGCACAGTGTAACGAAAAAATACCAACAATTAGTGAAGTGGTGTTAAGTGCCGAATCTCTCGCGAAAGCAGTCGTCAGAGGATGCGAGCTTGACCCACTTGGGTTTTTGTGCTGAGCTGGGCACCGTGCATGCTGCATTGTTCATGCAGGCCGGAGTGGTAACAAAAAAGCCTCTCCTCCCCCTCACCAGAGAACGCGAACTCCAACCGACCGCTGACGCCGCGTTCGGTTAAGTCAGCCGAGCGCTGAGCCTCTGTATATGTTGTCCCCATCCATCTAGTTCTAAAGTTAACCGCTTGGGCCGCTGCGGTCTGGTCTCCTCCTAAGCGACCTCTTTCTTGTTGTCGCAAAAATGTTTTGCAACATCTATCAGTGATATTGCCACGCGCGCTGCCCAGCGAGCGCGTGGCCGAGTGGTTACCGCGCTTGGCTCTCGCACTGAGGCTCCGGGTTCAGTACCAGGAAGCGGACATTTATTTATTCTTTCAACATTCTCGTAAGTTCAAGAACCTTGTCGTCTGATCGAGTTACGAATGTTCTACGCGCCGAATGTTCCAGAAACACACGTGGGCACAAAAGGTACTCCGAGTGGCGGTCCGGAGTCAGTCTCGCCCCAGCGGTCGATCCTGCTGTTTCGCCGACATCGACACCTGCGACGCTATAGCCTTTGTTTATTTTGTTTTGGGCACAAGTTCGCGTCATTAAACTTTTAGTTTGTTCAGTTATTCGCCGCCTCATCATTTGCCATTCGTAACAATATTTTGCTCCTTATTATCGGACTGCATAAAACAGCCCTGCGATACTTTTTTCCCCGTTTTGTGTTGTTGCGAGCTAATGAACCATTCTGGTAACTCAGATTTGCGCAGCTGTGTAATTGTCGATGTTACTGACGTCGATAGAAATTACGCAATGTGGAAGTATTTTCAAAGTAATCGAATTACATTTCTAAATATTTGTGCTCTACTCAAGATACTTTACAGTGAAAGTACCCTTAGCGAGAACTAAGACGTCTGAAATATACCACATTCTAATTTGAGTGTATTTGAAGTACAGTTCATAATTGTAAGTACACAATAAATAGACCGAAAATATATACTTCTTTTTTTTTTACTTAGTACTAAAATATATTTTTGAAAATCTTTTAAAAATACCTTTATTTACACTACATTTGAAGTTCCCTTCGTGCGTTCTGAAATATGAAAATACTAAATTAGTAGGCCCAAAATACCTTTCACATAGATTTTTTTTTAAATATGTATTTATTTCATGCAGAATATGCTTCAAGGCTAATAAAAATGCAGCGATGAAAAATATGTGCAGAATACTCTTAAAATACCTGGAAATCGCAAATACTGTTTTGTTATGCTCTAAGTATCTTTCGAGTGCAACACTTTGGTAATCTGACTTAAACTACCAAAGTATTGAAAAGCTCGCCTATCAGAAGTTCACTTCAAGCAGATACGGAGTGCACTGAAGCGCCTAAACACAACATTTGATTAGTTTGTGAATTGAGTTGTGCAGCATCGCATTTATAAATCAGCGCAGTTTATGTTATTGTTTTCTTTTTTCTATCAAGAACAGACCTGATGGGTTTCATGCCCACCAATCACAAACGGAGTTCGGGGACTACAACCACAACACTTGCTGATACTGGAAGGCTTCAGCAAGTGCTGTGAGCAGATGTGTTTGGCGTGTAATTGTGTTAGCACAATGTTAGTTCTCTGAGTCTGTATGCTCACCATTGTACGTGATGTGAGCAGTGACTTTAATATAGTGACGTTAATGACCATATTAAATAGTCCACTAGTAAAGAAAAGCAAAATAACTATTTTAATGTGAAGAAACTAGGTTCACTCGCTTCATCCTGGGTGGTGCTACGAAGAGAAGCAATAAAATTTTTTCTAGAAGCCATTTTTATGGATATTGTTTTCGCGAATGTGCCGAATTATTATTAGCTGTATTAATGCTTGTAGTAGGGATATCGTCCACGAACTTCAAAACACTGTTTACCCTTTGACAGACTCCCGAGGAGAATATCGAATACTTGGAGCCTTAATAAGTGCAGGGCTGGTCACCGGCCAAATGATTACCTTCAATATGTAGGCTATATAAGGCTCTAGAGCAGTCAATGGGACTGCCATTCAGGTGCTCAATGCGTCATGGTGTTTGTGTTTGTGTTCGTTTCTAATGCATTGGTATGCATTTAGTAGCGCCTTCGATCACCACAGGGACACCATTTACTAACAAATTAAAAAAAAAATTGCGTAGCCGGTTTTTAATACACAAATGGCATCTTGAGGGGAAAGGAATTATATTTTTGCAATATCTAAAATTTTTTCTGCTTAATATTTATGATACCTTTTGAATACTTTTCGCACGTAGTTAGAATGGGGAAAAATAATACAGAATGAATAGAAAATGAATATTCGTATTCAATATATTTCAAGTTCGTTTCAAGTACGGCCGCTTTTTGCTAAGGGTAACTTGAGTCGTATTTTAAATACTTTATCGGAAGCAGGTATTTAGTAACTTAAATACTTTTATTGAGTATTCTGTCGAACACTGCAATATATATATTTGCGTTGTCACAAACAAAAAGAAAACTAAAGGGGGAATTCAGCCCACGTGCCAAGTCGGGCTGCTTTTTGCCTGATAGGGCCACCGAAAGATTGCGTAAGTTGTCCTTCGGTGGCCCTACCAGGCAAAGAGATGAATTTTCTAGTTCCATGACTTGCTTGTTTCATTAACACGTGCTCTGTACGGCTGTGTCGTGGCGATGCATCGTCTGGGCTGAATTCCTCCTTTAGTTTCTTTTTTTGGCCGCGACACCGCATATATATATATATATATTGCAATTTTGCGGTCAATAAGCTCAATTGTAAGTCAGCGCTGTGTCCGTGTTATTTCTTCGTCTGGTCCTCCGTCTTTTGTGCTGTGTTTAATCCTGAATCCTGTACCAACGCCCCCAAGCCTCAACTTTAGCTCTCTCTCGCACAAAGGTAGCGCTAGAGGCCCGAACCAGGTGCCAAAGTTTTATCTCGAACCGATATTTTATTCATGAGTTATAAGTGCTTTTCTGAAAATTTCAATGGGAGAACTGCGGCCGATGCAGTTTTCGAATACATGAAGCTCTATGGCGCCAGAAACCGAGAACGGGCGAAAGTTGTCCTAATTTTTCTATTGAACCTTTCAGAAAATCACATACCCTTTATATACCATAACGGTTACTGCTGAAACTTTGGCATCTGATTCGAACCTCTAGCGCTACCTATGGCCGGAGAATGAGCGTTCGACAATGCCTATAGTTTTTTTTTGTTTTTTTTTTGCGGGAAAAAACAAAACAAGAAAAAACGTTGTAAGTATCTTTTGGTGGACACCTAGTATATTTCATGATTCCAAACCAATGTGTTAATTCGGAACGCCACTAAATAGTATAGAGGCGTTTCAAACTAAAGATGAGCACCGGCATGGGTCCCCTGGTAGGATCAAAATTGTTTAAACTAAAGAAGCGTCGCTTTAGAGAAGTTAAACCTTTTACCTCTGACTTCAAGAGGAGTGCCAACCTTTCTGGTGAATTTGACTCGTTTTTTCGTCGGATCAACAAGTAAATTTTCTTGATGCCTTGGCACGACCGCAGCAATTTCTCCACAAGAACCTAGAAACAACGAGTAACGAAGGTAAGATACGGAATCAAATGAGTTACAGTACTCACAAAAAAAAAAACTAAATAGAAACGAAGCATTTTTTTCAAAAAGACGCTTCATAAAATTTAGCAAATAAGGTGTTGAAGAGCACGGAAGAGGATAAGCAAAGGAGCCACAAAGTCGGAACTCGAGGTTCTGTGTTTTTGGTATTCAGGGATACACCCCAAGTAGAAAACCCCGAATCGGTTTTCTGAACATCGCGAGAAGCAGCAAACCCCCGAATTGAACCTCTCGCTGAATAAGAAAAAAAAACTAGTTTCACGAAGGAAACCGTTATGCACAATTTTTTTTTTTTTCGTTGATCCGGAACACGGTTTTTAGTGACCTGGACGCGAGACTTTCCTTTTTCGGTTAACAGAAACCTCGTCTTGTGTTTTTAACCATGAATAACGGTAGATTTTCCCAGTATTGCCCGATTAAAAAAACAAAACAAAAAACAAACAGCAATAACATCTAACTGTCAAGCTGGCAACTAAGCATGTGACTAAGCTGACCAAACTGGTCAGTGTAATAGCGCAACTGGTTTAAAGGGCCCACAAAAGGAATTTTAGGCCGGTATAAAGGAATTTAAATTGGGATCTTACTAATAGCCGATCGTTTCGTGGGCCAAAAGAAAGAAGGTAGAAAGTCAGAAGGCTGATTTTTGGTGCGAAAGTTTTAAAACACAGCGGATTATTTCGCACCTCCTTTCCTTTGAAAGCTCTCTGCCTTTTCACTGTGATACATCCGCGGTGACCAAAGCGCGTTATCCGGCCAAAACGCACGTCACACTACACCGGACTTCACTTATTCCCTTCACTCACAAGCTGACCGCGCGGTGGCTTGGGGTGAAGCACTGTCAGGTGAGGGGTGAACGGCGTGGGGAAAGCAACTCTTGTCCGAGTTTTGAGCGACAGGTTAATCTTTTAGGGGGAGAATGGCTGTGTCCGAGTACATAAACAAGGGTCCGAGCAAGAGGAGAGTTTTCCTTTCCGTCTTCTTGAACTGTTTGGCACAGTGCGCGATTTGTGAGTTGAGGAGAAAATATAAGAAGGAAAAGTTGAAAAATCGTTTTATGACCACTTTAAGCTGGGCAAGCTAGAATTTCAGCTGTTCAGTCTGGTTTAAGTAAAATCCAGCACGGTGTAACTAGAATCTGGTTTTAGATTCAATCTGGTGTAGCTGGGAGCCACTCTGGTCCCAAATGGCCAAACTAATATTCCATGGAACCAATGTGGTCAAGCTGGGAGACAAGCTGGTCAAGCTGGCCCTACTCCTAATCGTGCTGCTCAAGCTGCTCTTGCTGGGTGCGCGCATGCCAAGGTCAGCTACAGCTGGTCGAACTGGCATTACTGGAAGCGCGCGCGCCAAGGTCGGCTTGGGCTGGGACGAGGCCACGTCCTGTTCTTTGTCCTCTCGTTTTTGGTAGACGACCGGGCGCTTCAGGCGCGCTGCGAGCTGCCTTTGTGTGCGAGAAGAGAGAGAGTGGTAGGAACGGAGAATTCGACACACGTTTGGCTAGCTTGGGCAGATTTTTGAAAGGAAGGCTGTGTGCGCGTTGTCTGGAGACTATTTGAACGGAGGTGCAAGCAAAGCGGGTTTTGAGGAGACAGCGAGCGGCAGTCCGTTCAGCGCGGGAAGAAATCGAACGTCCCGACTGAGGCGTCGTTTCATGTCTTCGAACACGTGTGTGCTCGTGAATGACGGTGGTGCCAATGAGTATCGCCAATGCCATCCAAGCCACACGGATTTCCTCGCCTCTGCCGACTACGCGAGAGGCTGCCTCGCCCCCATCACTGGCAAGACCCAGGTTTGCTGCTTTCATTTTTTTTATTGTTATGGCCTGTTTTTGGCTGTGTCTAGTATTTTTTGTGTTGAGAGATAAGCAACATAGTTCTAATATCATTGTTTGTTTTGTACACAAAACTACTGTCTATGCGTCGGTTAGTGCTGTATCAGCGCCAAGAATTTGAAGCATCTGAGCTCATGGGAGCAGGCTGCGAGTACAAATATAATAAAATGGATGCCGAGTTTACTTCCCCGAAGAGTTTGGCTTGTTGATCCTGTGTATCAATTTAAACTGGTTAAACGGGTGGGGAAGTCCACCAGCTTAACCAGCATGACCAGCGTGTCAAACTGGGCATGCTGGGGTAATAACTCAGCTTGAAGCGGAGACCAGATCAACTAGCATGACCATTATGACCAGGTTAACCAGCATTACAAAATAGGCATGCTGGAGCAATAACCAAGCTTGAGGCTGGGACCAGATCAACCTGCTTGACCAGTATGACCAGATCAACCAGCATGCAAATTGGGTATGCTGGAGCAATAACCAAACTTAAAGCTGGGACCAGCTTAAGTTTTTTTTAATAGGATGCGGTTACTCGCACGTTCCCTCGAGTTTGGGGATTCCCACATCTGTCTCCCGTTATATTCAACATAAGCCCGGATAAATGCCAATTTTTTTCTCAATAATAGAAATAGAAACATGAAAATACAAAATTGTAAAACAAGAACCAGAAAAAAAGTTAAACACCGAACATAGTGAAACATAAACATAGTAAAAAAACAATTGGTGGCTAATGGCTGGGCAATTGTGTTACCCGTGAAACGCTGCAGTATCGCTCCGGTATGTTACCGAGCCGTGCGCCGACGCTCACGGCGCTCACCAGATAACTTAGCGCGTGCCTTATAAACTGGATACAGTTCCTGGGATAAAAAGTCTGGTGCTAGACGTTTTTTTTTTATTGTTTTCTGTTTTTTCTTATTTTGTTCATTTTTATTCCTCCTCGCCTACCTCATTGATCACGTGAGCTCCCCCATGATCCAATCACCATCGAGTTTCGCGGCTTCATCATTATCCTGACTTCACTTTTGGACTGAATAGAAATCTGAACACCCGCCTGGCTAGACAAAGAATGCTCCAAAAAACCTTGAGACTTATGACAAAAAAAGTGGACAATACAATGCCATCATTAAAAAAGTGAAAGCCGTTTACAACTCCCTGTAATGCCGAATTGGAGCGCAGCTTTTGAGGAGGAGGAGGGAAGGGTACTGAGGAGAGAGTAGACCCCTCGTCCTCCTCCTCCTTTTCCTACTCCCCTCATTCTTTAATATGCTCCGGGGGTCACCCGATCTCGGTGGAGGGGGGTCACGTGACCTCGGGGGGGGGGGGGGTCACGTGACCTCGGGAGGGGGGGGGGGTCACGTGACCTTGGGGGGTCACGTGACCTTGAGGTGACCTTGGAGGGGGTCACGTTACCTCGGGGGTTAATCACACGAGCGCGTGCCGGTACGAGACTCATTCAGATCGAAACGGGCGTGGGCGGGGGCGGCGGGGATTCGAACCCAGGAGGTTCCCAACGCAAGCTTTCGCTCCACGCTCCGAGCTGAGACGCGTTAGCCACTTCCTCCCCTTGAACGCGCGCAGCGCGCTACCGCTGCTTATATTCACACTTGAAGGAGAGGACACTAGAGGAGGAGAGTTGCGCATGCGCGCGCGGTGTGAGTAGAAGCGAACGCACGCGAAGTGCACGCAGCTGGTAGAGAGAGAGAGCGGAGAGAGTAACGCGCAGCTGTTGGAGAGAGGGAAGGAGGAGAGTTGCGCATGCGTAGTGTGAGTGCGGACTACGACGCCGCGGGACATAGACCCGAGCAAGACATGCTCCGCATCTAAAAAACGACGAGAGAAGCATCCATCATATCAAAACAGCGTCAGATTTTTTTTTTTTTTTGTGGTTGGCGTTGCACTGTAAAGAAGGAGCAATTATCGTTACTCTAACATGATCGGTTCGAGATCCCGAATTTTGTTTGCAGGCTCGCAATATGGGAGAGCGTTTCGTACCTACTTCTAACCATCACAGTGAAAAGAAATCTTGTTGATTCTTCCATTTCCAGCAACACACCGATTATCGAGAGAACTGGATAAAGACATCAGGTAACATTAATGTACGGACAGTTTTTTCGATAACACAAATGTGCACTGAAGCAACTTCTCTGCTGTCATAAATTCTTGAAAGACGTGCAGACCTGTAGTTCGACGTTGATACAAAAAATTGGGTTGTATGTTTATGCAGCCTAGAACTTGGTCTGCCTCCAAGTTCTAGGCGACGTTGCTACACTTCACGTTGTCCTCGTAACTTATGGCCATTATATAATTCGGCTTCTCAGTGTTTTCGCCCTCTCAAAAAAGTGAAAGCCGTTTACAACTCCCTGTAACGCCGAATTGGAGCGCAGCTCTTGAGGAGGAGGAGGGAAGGGTACTGAGGGCCACGTGTTCTCGGGGGGGGGGGGGGGGGGGGGGTCACGTGACATAAAGCAAAGGGTCACATGACCCCCCTCCGAAGTCACGTGACCTCGGGAGGGGGGTCACGTGACCGGGGGGTGTCACGTGACCTAGGGGAGGGGTCACGTGACTCCCCAGGTCACGTTACCCCCCCGGTCACGTGACCGACATTTCCCCGCTAGATTTAGCGGGGAAATTTTTCCACTAGATTTAGCGGGGAAATTTTTTCCGCTAGATTTAGCGGGGAAATTTTTTCGCTAGATCTAGCGGGGAAATTTTCCGCTGAATTTAGCGTAGAAATGTTTCCGCTAGATTTAGCGGGGAAATTTTTCCGCTAGATTTAGCGGGAAAATTTTTCTGCTAAATTTAATGGGGAAATTTTTCAGCTAAATTTAGCCGGGAAATTTTTCCGCTAGATTTAGCGGGGGAAATTTTTTCGCAAGATTTAGCGGGGAAAATTTTCCGCTAGATTTAGCGGGGAAATTTTTCGGAGGGGTTTTTAGATCTTGTTAAGCTTGAGCAAGGGTTGTCGCTCAAAGTTTGCGTCGCTCATTTTATTACTCACATGTGGATGAGCTCGCATGTTATACAAAAAAGCAGCAGCTCCTGGATTTGAAACGGATCATGTGTAGTATCCTTTAGCGGAAGAGATCGCCCCGACCACTTCTCAACTCGAAACATTGCTTGTCACAAAGACGACGTAGGGGAAATGGGGAAATATTTCAACTGCCTTTGTTGTATTTTGCATTCGCTTTAGGCATTCTTCGGTTCTGGTTCTCCTACGGGCTGCGAGTAGGAACCCTAAGCAGGATTTTTTATTTCTTTTATTTCTGTGTGTGTGTGCGTGAGGGGGCTAGTTTGAACGAAGGACTCACAAAGCTACATTCTGCTTCCTCAAACTTCGCCCTGAATGGCCGTTGTCACGCACTGTGACTTTCCTGGGGCTTCCCACTCCCAGTCCCAGCTCGAAAAAAAAAAAAAAACGGACATTCCACAGAAATTGTACGTAAAAAGAGATTGACCTCGTTTCCTACAGCTCCGCAAAAATCTTTCTTTTTTGTGTCCGAAAAAAAAAAAAAGCAAATTTTATTTTTGTCATTTCATAAAACAAAAGTCGTGTGCCGGGGGGGGGGGGGGGGGGGGGGGGGGGGGGTCCCGTGGACAAATTGTAACGGTTACAAGTAATTTTATTACATCAAAAAGTAATCAGATTACTCTTCTGATTACTGCCTAATAAAAGTAATCAACTGATTACAAAAGTACTCCAGAGTAATCGATTACACGTAATTTGATTACTTGTAATGCGTACGGTACAAGTCTGACTTTGACCCCTCATTCAGCATACCACTTCTCGTGCTACATGCATGCCGGGCTACATAAACGTAAGTTCTCATTGGCACCCATTTCACTTGAATGGGTTTTATATAATACGTTAATCAGACCAAAGCTGAAATATGCAGCCTCTATCTGGGATCCGGGTCGTGATACCCTTGTCATGTCACTAGAGCCTATCCAAAATCGCTCAGTCCGTTTCATTTTATCGAACTACCATCGCACTGCTAATGACACATCAATGAACGTTAGTTTATCTCTGCAATTTCTCTCTCTCTCTGCGCCGAGAATTTTCTCGTTTATGTTTATTTCACAAAATAATTGGCATAATCCCACCTTAAACGATCAAACGATAACTCTCCCCTTTTGAATTTCGCCCTGTGCTGATCATTAGCGTAAAGTTCGAGTCCCAAGCTAACAGCTGCATTTCACTCATCATTTCTTTCTCGCACAGCACATGGATGGAACCAGATCCCCGGTTTAATTGCTGCCATAAGGTATTTTGAAACGCTATCACTAACCATTCCTGCTTGATTGTTTGTTTGTTATATTATTACTATCGATACTTTTGGTACAGTTTTTGTTCTATCTTTTTGTATCTGAACTCTCCTTATACAATGTCCTCCGGCTCTGAGGGTATGTTCGATGAATAAATAAATAAATACATAACCTCCCCGCCTCCCAGGCATTGGTTTTACTCACAAACATATGACCTGTAACGGCACAGCACCCAATATGTTTGAACCCTTCATGCTACATCCAGCGATCCTTTTCTTATCATGTTAGAGGAATAGGTCTTCTTACTTGTACATCTTTTGGTCTTATTTCGCTCCATCAAACTAGGCATTGATTAGGCCTTTACACACATGGAAAATTGTCACTAGCGATATACAAGGTGTTTCAGCTAACTTTCTTCTAGACTTAAAAAAAAAAAAAAAACTGGCAGGCCGATTTAAGGCAGTATTGTTTACCGTCCCGTTAGCTCCTTTTACTATCAACGAACGATTGTGTTAATGAAATCTACTCAAGTAAACTAACTGTTAACATATTTTTGTGCGCAAAACCAATGATACAAATGTTGTAGAGAGCATTGAGCAACATTTCATCCTATCACTTCTATCTAGGTAGCCTTCATATATCGAATGCTTTGAAACTTTAAACGCGCGCGAAATGAATAGAGAAACGATCCCATGCGATTATGCGCGAAAGGTAGTCATGTGATTAAAAAAAAAAAATCTTGCGCGAGATTTTGAATTTACATTAAAGCTCAAAAGCATTAGACGCGGAAAGGGTGTACCTTTGTAGAAACGACATCATAGGGGGGATCGGTGGCTCTTGTGTGTTAACAGGAGTGGAGATTGACCCTGGTTTCAACCTCCCCACCCCCGCAGGCTTCCATTTGGATGAGCATGGTACGGGCGTGCGGCCGTGGTATCACTACTGTGTGATGCACGTTAAAGACCCCAGGCTAGCAGTGGTACAGCTCTGGATTAATTTATCATATACAGTGTCACCCAGTATCGCCGCACTTGAAAGGCAGATCTACCTTACGCTGTATAAACACGAACGTCGTTATGTTGATTTTGACATTCTATGATGTTTCTCAATAGAGAGTTTTAGCAGTTCGCTTTTTCGCCCCGGTAACGATACCTCCTCTCCCCTCCGGCGGCCTTGGGCATGCATCGTATTGTTATTTGGTATCGTTATCGGGGCAAAAAAACTCTCTCCTAAAACTCTCTAATATGCTGTACAACTTATGCATTGGAGGGTTAATATTTCAATAAAATATATATATATTTTTTATTTATAATATTTCTATTTATGAATATTTATATTTATATTATATTTATAACATATATCTAAAACTAATATTTAAAAAGTATGCTCATTAGTCTTCACTAATTAGCCAGTTTGACAAATCTAAAAATATCTTCTCCTGCTACACGACTGTGAACAATACTGCATTGGTTCAGCCCGCGTAGCGTGCACAAGATTTCTTTTTTTTAAGTCTTGGCACAATTTAGTTGAGCCCACTCGGTATATTTCGCCAACTTTTACTATTGCGTAGATAACAATTCACTGGTTTATTATCACAGCTTAGCAGCTTTTTGTAACAAGCATCACTTAAATCGTTTCAGAAGACATCTCGATATAATGCACGCCAACGCCAAAATTTCAGCTGTTTGAATCGGTCTTATAACGAATTCACGAGTCATCCTCGATGCTGCGACAGCATGGCCGATTTTCTTTGAACCGTGACCGCACGTGTCGCCTCATGGCACTGAACAAAGAGAGCCTAAATTTAAGGCAGGGATACTAAAACCAATGGATGCGTTTGCAATTTCATGGCGTACAGCTCCGACTCAGACTGGTCGCAAGTGTACATGGTTGCATCATCGCCTGGTGAGAGGGAAAGTGGGCGGTGTGGCGGCGATGTCGGCAGACGATCAAGTCTTTCGTGATCTCCTCGCCGCTCATGTTGCAAGCGCAACGTGCAAGCAACGTTACTCCGATCGGGTAGATGGAAACAGTCTGCTATCAATGCGCACTACACCCAACATGCATTTGTACCACCCTCTGAGACGCTTTCAGAAAGTACACAAATAATGAAGACTAAGAGTTTTTTTTTTTTTTTGTATTTATAAATTCACGAGCACAGTTTCCATAGTAACTCTGTCCTCTGGCTACCCATACATCAAACAGTGGCTAAAAAGTTTCGCTAATTTTGATTTTACTGAGGAGGGTGGTTTAATGCAATGAAATACAAAGATACATGTTATAATAGATTACTTAGTGCTATAATTGACGCGTCGAGGTACCTGTGCCGCAAAAATGATCAGATGCATATTTTTTTGCATTTCGATACAACAACGAAAAGATCACCTTCCCAAGAAATCCAGTGGCGCCTGTAATAAAAATTACTGCGTCTTGATAGAAACGCTGCACTTCCGAATACCCGTCTTCTGGTGGCACTGAAACGGTACGCAAGAATACAAGGTTTTTTTTTGTTTGGCAACTGAGCGATTTTTCGTTACTTCTAAAGTCTGAGCGGAACACAAATAGAAATGCACGGGCTAGAAACGCAATGGACAAATTATTTCCTCTTGTTTGGATTAGGTGGTGATATCATGCAAACAGAGACATAAAAAAATGATTTGATCGAGTCCTTTCTGTAAAGCTTGATTGATCCGACTGGGTCTTAGCGTTGATAGCTCTCGGACTTCAGCTGCCGCCGTATGCACGTCACACAAGGAGAGTTATGTGCAGTGAAAGAAACCGTAATGAATACTACAATGCGCCATTTTATTTCATCAGATACCATCAATCCCTCTGTACATATTGACTCGCGATGATTCGATGATATCTGGGTGGGGATGACACACACGGGATGATTGGGCACCAGTATGGGGATACTACGTGATTGGGAAGGTTCTTTAACAAAGAACCGTGAAATTCCCCCCTCCCCCCCCCCCCCTTCCTTTCCTCTTTTCCCGAAAGTCCGCCACCTTACATTTTTCAACTTTGATCTCATCACCGTGTGGGTGGAAAACATTTGGATTTTATGATATTTCTTCCAATTTTATCACTCGGTCATTGTCTACTCCAGCTTTTTAAAGGCGGCGGAAGTGCTGAATTGCCAAGATAAAGATACAATAATTATTTGGGGCTGTTGAAAGTATGAATCAATCTTAATTAACCTTTCTTCATAAGTTGCAACGACGTGATGCAAAAGTACTTACCCCGTATCAAACCTGGCGGTATCATAGCTTATGCGTTGATAAGCCTACTTTTCTTCCGAACTTGCTCAGTCGCAGTCGCACTGTGACCCTTAAATAAAACAAAAAACAATGAGGAAAAAGTCGTTTTAAAGTTTTCCGTTTTATAGCGTGGCAGAGCTCGGGGACGTCGAGAACATGACTGGTTTGTTACTGCAGTGATGACAAACTATTATGACGATACGCAAATTATTATTCCATTGATTGTCATATGTTGCACGTAGCGGTCTGGGATAGTAGGAAGGCAGGAGCAGAAGGTGTGTCTATTACTGCACACGGGTGACGTTGTTACGCGGTGTGATGATTGTCTGTGTACAAAGAAACGCACTTCATTCTTGAAGTATGTGGAACAATATATGTATAATAAGTTAGATGCCAAAAATATTCGATATGCCGAGAAAATGAGTAAAATGTTAGGTATTATTTTAATTTTCATTATCCAGGAAAAAGTGTGGTCACTCCTAAAGGCGATCGCAGTCGTCGTTGTCGCAGCTCGAGTGGGTGGATTGAGCTCCAGCACATTCGTTCTTCTGCGAGCTGGTAACCCCTGGAAGCAAGCCAGGCCTCATCAGTCTGGAATACCGTAATAAACAGTTAAAGAGTAATTAATCACATCACAGAATTAGTGAATTTTCGAAGAGGGTAGACCATAGCGGACTGAATTGGAGTACTGATAACCTAGGCAGCGAGGATCGTTGAAAATTCGACCCACCACTTCTACGGTGCCGGGACATTCGGCTCTTACATAGAGGAGAGGAAGCTGCATTGGATAAGGTCCAGTCAAGCTTGTCTTGATGTCACTAAAACTACGGTGGATGCAAACAAGAGCGTATTGGCGACGAGCGCGACCGAAAGCGTCGCTGTGGTCGGCCTTCCACGATTGGCCGAACGCTGACTTATGACGTCGGAAAGGGTATATCATCGACGGAAATAAGAGGAATGAAAGAACTTTAATTTTGACGGTGTTGGCAGTGTTCCTTTGAGAGCGCAATGATTTCAAGCTTCCACCATGCTATTTACGAACACCATCGAACTTGTTGTTTGCAAGGTAATGACGTCACAAGGGGGAACCGTTGGAGGGCGCCACCATAACTTCTCGCCGCTAATTGATCACTTCAGTTGGTCCCGAGACATTCGAGCTACTGTACGAACCAAGGATCTTCTCAGATACACCGTAGCAGGAGTTAGTTAAGATATTCAAAGAACACTTCGCGTCTAACAGTTTTATGAAATTTAAATGGGCGAAGATGTTTTCAGCTCGAAAGGAAGAAAACAAGCGAAAAACTTCATAGCAACGCTTAGAACAATAATCACCAACTGGGAGCATGAATATGAAGCCGTTGCCCAAAGGTTTTCACCGTTGACAGAATTCATCGTCGGTTCCCAAAACACACACGTCCGTACAAACCTGGCCTTCGAGAAGGACCTCATTCTTGACGTCGCAGTTTGCTTGGCCGACTCCTGTCTCACCGCCGAAGTAGAGTCAGGACGCCTAGACCTAGGAGACCACATGGCGCTGCTCGACGAAAAGGTCAAGCGGTCTTCTCCTGCATCGGGTCAAGTGCTTCCGACGTGGCAACATGAGCCACTCCGAGAACGCCTGCTGCTTCCTACGTGAGTCATACAGTGGTGGTGGCAAACGACGCTACATTGCAAAGGTCTGTCGATCAAGTGATCGTCAGAAAACAGCCGCAAAATAGAAGAATAAAATGAGAAAAGGATCACCAGTATTTTCGTCTCTTGAAAACTAGGTGGAAATTTCGTCAGCGGCAATATCCAAGGAACACCCGTTGCATTGGAGGTTGACTCAGGCTTCAAGCTTACATTTCTCGACACCGAGACATGGGAAAATGTAGATTACTTCTAAAAGTCTCTGCATGTAACACTGCACCCGTTGCCTTATAAAACCAGGTCGGCCACGGAGGGAAGTGGCATGGTTGCAGATTCGTTTTCCCAGTTGACGAAACAGTGGAGTATGCAATACGAGCATCGTACTGCATAAAAATAAAGTCAGCGCTCCCTTCCATTGCACCGATTTATTTTCGTGAGAACCCTGATAGAAACACGGACCTCCATCGGCCGTAAAGACCTGCCTAGACTAAGCGAGGAATAGTAATTGAGCCGGCCGCGTAACATGCCTTACTTGCGGCCTGAACACCACTCGAAACAGCAGCATGACCCTCCCGGCTCTCGGGTTATTTAAGAAGCCTAAGATTACTTGCTCAGTATACTTCTTTTATAATGTGTTATCGTTGACGTTAACCCCAAGCTCAGTGCCACGGAACAAAGACGGCTCAAAGCCCTCCTCGGCGAATTTAGCGACTGCTTTGCGGCGACGTCGAAAGTGTGCCAGACAACCGCTGCAAAACATCGCACTGTTACCAACCACGGTGCGTTCCTTGTGCATCGGCCGCCGTACCGGGTCTTTCCAAAGGAGGGAAAGCCATTCACAAACAAGTGCTAAAAATGCTCGACGACCACATCAACTAGCCTTCAAGGAGCCCGAGGGCTTCCCAGTCGTACTGGTGAAAAAGAAAAATGGAACGATTCGATTTGCGTAGATTACCGGCGGCACAATGCGGTGGGAAAATAAGACGTGTATCCGCTCCCCCGCATCGACGACACATTGGACCGGCAGCACCACTCCCGATACCTTTCGTTGATGAGCCTGAAGAGTGGCTACTGGCAGATCGAACGGGACAGAGAGAAGAATGCCTTCGTCACGCCCGATGGACTCTACGAGTTCAAGGTGATGCCGTTCGGACTGTGCATGACGCCGGCAACGTTCCAGCGTGTCATAGACACCGTACAGGCAGGCTTCAAATGGCAGAGCAGTCTCGTTTATCTCGACGACGTTGGGGTATTCTCGGCAAACTTCGACAAGCTCTTGCGACGCCTTCGGTCCGTTATTCAGGCAGTCAAGACCGCCGGACTTACCCTCAAGCCGACGAAGTGCCGGTTTGCCTACAAAAAACTGAAGTTCCTAGGCTACGTTGTAAGCAACGAAGGTGTTCGCCCTGATCCTGAGAACACTCGGGCCGTAACGGCATTTTCACCCCCACCGACAAGAAGGCCGTCCAAAGATCCCTGGGACTTTGCGCGTACTACAGGTGCTCTGTTTGGGATTTCGCCAAGCTTTCTGGGCCGCTCTTCAATATTACTTTTATTATTCACTCACCTCACGAAAGACACCATGAACTTAGAATGCGGAGAATAGCAACAGGCAGTTGACGAGCCGAAACGACGACTTTAGTCGCTACCCATTTTTGGCTACTTTGACGAGTCAGCCGAACAGGAGCTCACACGGACGCTAGCAATACAGGACTCGGCGCGGTACTGGACCAACGACAAGAGGGGACCGAGAAAGTGATCGCCTACGCTAGTCGAACGTTGTCAAACGCGGAGCAAAAATTACTTGACGACTGAGAAGGAATGTCTTGCCGTCGTCAGGCCGTCACAAAGTTTCGCGCGTACTTATGCGGGTGCCCCTTTCAAGTGATCACCGACCCCAACTCGCTGTGCTGGTTAGCGAGCCTGGAGGACCCATCGAGACGCCTCGCTCGATGGACCCTACGACTGCAAGGATACGACGTTCTACAAGTCAGGCCAAAAGCACAGCGACGCCGACTGCCTGTCCAGGGCCCCTTTTGGGTCAGCGCACACTTGTGCCTATCTCAAATATTCTACTCAAGATACTGTATTTCAAATACTTTTTGAAGAATCTTAGTATCTTGCAAATACTTTTAATCAAATATTCTACTCAAGATACTGTATTTTAATTACATTTCTGAGTAGCTTGTACTCATTATCTCAAGTACATTGTTGGCATTCCGCCATTTTCCGAGTTTTTCGGTACGAAACGGCGTGGGCGTGGCACGAGCAAACGGAAACATTCTTTCCAGTAACCAGATCCTGTTGCTAGCTTTGGTAAGCTATGGTGACTTAGGTTGGGCTCGTGAAAACATCGCATTTGCGTCGATTGTGACTTATATTTCACCCCAAATTTCGTACAATGTAGGTTTTAACCTCGCTTTCCCAAAGGCGCCTTTTGTTTCCCTATAGTTTCCCCCAAAAGATCTTCAAACAAAGGGGGTTGTTTTACGGAAGTAAAGATTGCCACACTGAGGCGCAACGCGGAACGGGAAACTACCCACGACAACAATGCAGACTTCAGTGTCAGGAAAATAACAAATAGAAGAAAGTAAAAAAAAAGACCGTTTTTTTTTGCTTGTTGTATACTGCAAAACGTCTAGGATTTTTTATCTTCTTTTCTTTGTATCGTCAGCCCGGCACTTATTGGCAAACACTGTCTGTAAGCTAACATTGATAACCAGAGAACAGGACAGGAAACGAACTACAAGCTGGATGACCTCTAAAAATGCCAACAAAGCGTCCCCCAACGTTAAGTGCCTTTCTGAACTCAAACTACTTGAAGAAGGTGCGTCCAGTGCCGTGGCTATTATATGGGCTCTCTTTGTTATCCATTCACTTCTTTCCCTATGCCGAGTTCGTTTATGGTGAACTCCCTTTTAGAGAATATACGTAGATTGTAGTTTAACGATGCTTCTAAGCTGTGCCGCCGTTGTTGTTAAATGACAACCGCAAGGTTTAACCCAATACGAACTGTTTATTATTCTAAATCTACAACTTAAGCTTCGGTAAAACACAGAAGAGTTCTTTTTGCGTGGCGTCTTTCGTGGCGTTCTCGTTTTCGATCTCTCTTGTTCCCACACCGGGCTGTGGCTGTTGCTCGCGTCTTCCTTCTCTCTCCTCTCACCGACGTTTCAAATTCCGCTTCTTTTCCCGTCCGCTTCTTCGCACCCCCAGATGGTTGATGGCGGCGGCAGGCATCTCGTCTTGCTCAAGTTCGCCCGAGCTGCGTAAACATGACGTGAGGCCGCGGGCAAAGCTCAGTCCGTCAGGTGCCAGTCGAGGTTACCCGAGCATCCACGTGCTTTCCTCGTGATCGGTGTTTTCTCTTTGTGTGTGCTTATTTTTCGTCTTGTCTGTTTACGTTCTTACGCTGCGCCGTACCACGTGAGATTTATCGCCATCTCGTTGTCGGTTTTTCTGTTTCTTGCCCTCCCGAGCTCCGAGTCAGAGTTCAAACTTACAACAATCTCCCCCGGAATGAGCGGGCACGGTCATTCTTTTAACTCCCACGGGTACAGATGTTGAATGGGCCGGCGAAGCCTTCCTCCCCCGGGTAGGATCAGCTTACATGCTCTTGCTCTGCCGTCCCTTCCTTGAATAGTCTCCTCTATTCTGCAGGTTTTCCACATGTGTCTTGGTAGACGGTCTTCCTTTAGAAGAACCAGGTCACCCACTTGGAGTCCCGATGAGGCAGTGGGTTTGACCAGGTGCGCTGACCTTAGTTCGAGCAGATACTCTCGCCGCCACCGTCTCCAGAAATTGTTCACCACCGCAGTGCGGTATTTCCATCTTCGAGCAAGCTGATCTCCAGCTGGTAGCGCTTCCGTTGGTAGTCGATGTGGCGGAAGGCTCGTTAGTTTCCTCCCCACTAGGAAGTGAGCTGGGGAGAGCACCTCTGGTTCCTCGGCGTTTGCGTACACGTACGTCAGAGGGCGAGAATTTATGACGGCCTCGACCTCGGCCAGGACAGTCGTTAGTTCCTCAAAATCCAGGCTGCTGCGTCCCAACACCTTGCGCAGAGACACCTTGACGGATCGCACCATTCTTTCCCAAAATCCGCCCCACCATGCGGCCCTCTCGACGATAAATTTCCAACGGATTCTGTGATTCGAGAAGTATGCCTGCACTTCTTCAGACCGGATGGCACGGAAAATTAGTTCAAGGTCTTTCGACGTTCGTTTGAATGTTAAAGCGTTGTCCGAATACACTGTCGTGCTGATCCCGCGTCGTGCGACAAAACGCTTGAAAGCAAAACAAAAATGTGGCGGAGGAGAGGTCACTCACCAACTCCAGGTGGACCGCCCGTGTAACAGCGCACGTGAATAGAGCGATGTAGCACTTGCTGCTTCCTTTCCGTTGACGGCAGATCAAAGGTCCTGCGAAGTCTACTCCCGTGATGCTGAAAGGGTCGCTTCTTGTGACTCGGTCCGCCGGTAAGGGAGCCATTGGCTCGGATGCGGGCAGGCAACTTTGTTTTCGGCAGGCGAAACACTTGTGAATTACTTTCTTTACTGCTTGTCGTCCTCTGATGATCCAGTAGCATTCCCGTAGCCGTCCTAACGTGTCTCGAACCCCAGCATGGAGCAGCCGACGGTGTTCTCCAGCGATGAGAAGGGTGGTGAAAGGGTGATCGGCGGTAAGGACGATCGGGTGCTTCACATTCTCGCCGTTGTCACTGTGCTGCAATCGTCCACCCACTCGAACCAATCCGTCGCTGTCCAGGAATGGGTTCAAATTCCTGAGAGTCGATTTCCTGTCAGTTCGTTTGTCTTCACGCAAGCTCGTGATTTCTGGCACAAAAGTCTCGTTTTGTGCAATGGTAAGCCAATAAATTTCGGCTTCTATCAGTTCTTCGCTTGAGAGAGGTCCGCTTCGTTTGTCTGCTGTCTTGGCACAATTCTTCACGAAACGTTTGATCCAAGCAGTTACGCGGATCACCTTGGTTGCCGAGTTGTACCTTTCCAAGTCGAAAACTGGAAACAGAGCTGGTGCTGTTACTTGTAACACCATTGCCTTCTTTTCTTCTGCTTTGTTGTCCGCAACCTGGCAAGCATTTTCCACTTGACTTGGCCAGCTTTCTTCATTGCATGGCAGTGAAACTTGGCACTGTTCGTTCTCAAACTTTACGGATTTCTTGAATTCGCTGAGCAATTCCGTCTCTGAAGTCTTCGTCACGTCGTCAGCTATTCCAATGTGCTCAAGTTCCCAGAATGATCTGAGCTGAGCCGAAATTTCCGCGTCGTTTGTGTCGGACACAGTCACCCTCATCACTCCAGTTGTTGGCGAATAGATTGTCGCAGAAGTAGAGGTAACGGGACCCTGAAGTGTCCACCCGAGGATGGTGTCGACTGCCCTCAGCTTCCCATCCAAGCGCTTGACTCCGCTGTTCACAATGTCCCAGAAGTGATCGGCTCCGATGAGAAGGCTGATTCCCTCCTCGCATGGATTGCCCCCGAGCTCCACGTCCGCGAGGTTCATTCCGTCAGGCAGCCCCCGCAGTTCCTCGGAGGGGCTGTTCATGACATCTGAGCAGATGTGAGGAACCTCGAGGGCTTCTATTTTTACGCATTTTCTGTCGTATTGGCTGCGGAGCCACAGTTCCACTCGCTTGCATTTCGTTTTCGTTGCTGCATCTCCAAACGTGAAAATGGTCAAGTCCTCCTCACCCAGTTCCTTCAGGTGAAGTTTCTTGGAAACGGTTTGGCGAATAAAAGTCCGCTGGCTTCCGCCGTCGATGAGAAGTCTAATCCGGCAACGCTCTCTTTCACCTTCTGCCCAGGCTTGAGCTGTCTGCAGAAGTACTCGCTTTCCACTGTTCCTTTCTGAGTTGGTTATCTTGAGCGTTGACTGGAACGTCGTTCCTTCCGAAGTTGATGTTTCACCGGTGTCCGCCATTTCTTTTGCCGTAGTCTTATGCTGAGGCTTGAAGTTCGGGTCGCACATGGCACTTGCGTGTCTCCCTGCACACTGCGCACACTTCAGCCACTTTGCACTTCTGCAATCCTTTGCTCGATGGTTTTTCTTGGTGCAACGATAACATCGGTTTTCAGCCTTCAGAACACGCTTGCGTTCGTCGTTGGTCATTGAGGATGTGCAGTCCGCAGTCAGATGAGCACCTGATTTGCAGAACACACAGTTCTTTTCATCCAGGCCTGCTGCTGTTGTTAGTACAGATGCAGGAGGAGGATAACGATTCTGCTGATATTTCCTTGCACGAAAGCTTCTTTGATCCTCCGTTCGTGGCACGGAATGTCCTGACCCATATAAACTTCTTTCTCGGCTTTCTATCTCGATTTTCAGAAAGTCCAGAAAGTCTCTCAGTTCGTTGTGCTTTATCGCTGTTCGTGAGGCGGACCTCCGGTTGTACTCCAGGCTCAGATCGGCCGGCACGACCTTTCGAAGAACGGTAAGGAGCATCGTTCCATAGGTATCCGATTGAACCCCCAGGGCGTCAAGACTTCGAACTCCCGTCTCCACTTCATCGTATAACGCTCTGAGTGCATTGACGTTCCTGGAGTCATGGACTGGTTTGATCTCTAGCAGTCGTGACAGATGGCTTTCGATGATCAGCTCCTGTTGACCAAATCTTTCCTTCAGGAGGTCGATTGCAACTTTGTAGTTCTCGGTAGTGACGGCGAGTCCCTCAATTGCCGCAGCAGCTTTTCCGGTCAGGTAGCTTTTGAGGTACTTGAACTTGTCGATTTCCGAGAGAGTTTCGTTCTGGTGAATGGTGCAGTCAAATTGGCTCCAAAATCCTTGCCATGCTCGTATGTCCCCTTGGAATTTCGTTATCTCAAGTTTCGGGAGCTTCACTGTCGTAGTCATCCGTCCTTGATTTGCGATAGTTTTGACGGCCGTGTTCTGCATCAAAGATAACCTGGCAGCGGCTTGTTCACGTTCAGTCAGCTTGTTTCGCAATCGCGTCTTCGTTACGATGATTCTTTCATGGTAAACTTCCGCGCCTCTCATCTCCTCTTCTATCGATTCGCAGTCCACTACTTCTTCCATCTCACGGTCCAGTTCCTTTAAAGCAGCTGTGCAACGATATTCAATTGGAATGTTTTTCTCTCTACACGAGCTTACTGGCACACCTGGGACTCAAGGATACTCACACGCAACGCCATTGGCCAAGAAACTCCTTTGTTGCGGTGTAATTTCAAGGACAAAAGCGATCATTTTCATTCAATCTCTCCTTTGCAAAATTTGATGACGTAACTCGGGGATCGCAGTACACCCAAGTGACGATATTTGAATGCGGTTCATAGATTCGACCCGAGCATTGCGTGGGCACTCGACTTGGGCTCGTGACAATTGCTAGCTCGAGAAGAATTCGGGTTGTGACCCGTGTCCAATCGCTGCAACGACGACAACAGCCGAGCCATAACAATGTCTGGAACTCAGCGCGTGTCCTGCGCTTTGCCAACCCCAGCGCGTGGCTATGATCAACACTGGCGGCATATAATCGGCTCCAGATCACGTGGCCGCTTGTTCTGGCTGCGAGTTGAGGGGGTGAACGCTGCTCGTTTTTCTTTAATTTTTTTCTGGGACTTCTATTGCGTGGGGTGAAAAACGAACGCGTGTTTCATAGGTCATTAACGTTAGGCACCCGTTGTAAGCGGTATTTGCGCAGAGTACAAAAAATGTTGCGTAGCTCCTTTAACGTTGATTCTTTGGACACCAGAAGTTCAAACTTTTCTTGAAGCTCACCCGTATGCGTGTCTTCCGTGGCCAGCAGAACATCGATTTCGTTCAGGAGTTTCGTTGTTGACGTTCGGACCACTGCTCTTCTGCGTCTCAGTCGGTCGATTGTAGCTTGAGTTGCCATTTCTTCGTTCGGGGGTTGCGTTGGCGGTTAATCCCGGGGTTTCGGCACCAGAAAGTTTTGTTGTTAAATGACAACCGCAAGGTTTAACCCAATACGAACTGTTTATTATTCTAAATCTACAACTTAAGCTTCGGTAAAACACAGAAGAGTTCTTTTTGCGTGGCGTCTTTCGTGGCGTTCTCGTTTTCGATCTCTCTTGTTCCCACACCGGGCTGTGGCTGTTGCTCGCGTCTTCCTTCTCTCTCCTCTCACCGACGTTTCAAATTCCGCTTCTTTTCCCGTCCGCTTCTTCGCACCCCCAGATGGTTGATGGCGGCGGCAGGCATCTCGTCTTGCTCAAGTTCGCCCGAGCTGGTGTAAACATGACGTGAGGCCGCGGGCAAAGCTCAGTCCGTCAGGTGCCAGTCGAGGTTACCCGAGCATCCACGTGCTTTCCTCGTGATCGGTGTTTTCTCTTTGTGTGTGCTTATTTTTCGTCTTGTCTGTTTACGTTCTTACGCTGCGCCGTACCACGTGAGATTTATCGCCATCTCGTTGTCGGTTTTTCTGTTTCTTGCCCTCCCGAGCTCCGAGTCAGAGTTCAAACTTACAACAGCCGTCACTATAGCTGAGACGACCTCTTTTTTTTTGTCCCAGAAATGTTTTGCAATATGTATCAGTGATATCCTGCTTTTTGTAGTAGGACTGCATAGAATAGCACTACGTTTTGTTTTGTGCTGTTAATGAACCATTCTCGTAAACCTGATTTGAGCAAATGTGTAATTGTGTTTGTCAGTTGTCACTGACGTCGATACAAATTACGCTGTGCGGAAGTATCATCAAAAGTAACTGAATTACATTTCTAAGTATTTGTACTCTACTGAAGATACTTTACAGTGAAAGTAACTTGAGTAGTATTTTAAATACTTTATGAAGCAGGTATTTAGTAGCTTAACTTAAATAGTTTTATCGAGTATTTTGTCCAACACTGGCTACCGGTTGCGCCAAAGGCGACAACGACGACGATGACCATTTTTGTTGGCGCAGTGAGCGTTAACGAGAGTTCTTTTATAGGCTCCCTACAGGAGCCAGAGTTGCGCGTCTGTTTTCCACATGCCGCCGTGCCGCGATTCGCCGAGATCCGATCACGTGATGAGCCAGATCAAGTGCCGTGCAAGAGAGTAGACGTAGCGCGCGCCCCGCCGAACGTTCCCCTGCTTTTGAGCGCGCCGCGCGCCTCGAACGCGTGGCGCTGCTATTCGCTGAATTCAGTCACGTGACGAGCTGGATAAACATGCCATGCAGGAAAGACGGCGCTACGGGGATGAACGGGCAACTCTGGCTCCCGTAAGGAGCCTATACAGGAACTCTAGCGCTAACGGCATGGCAGCGCTCCAGCGGGATGATCCTGAGCTGCGTGCACTGATCGATCACTTGGAGGTACGGGAGGGTACGATTCTTCGAGCATTCTCACATGCCCTGCCTAGACTCGCCGTCCGGAAAGGTGTTTTCCACAAAGAGTACTTCGGGTACAGCAACTCGATGCTGCTCCTGGTAAGTTCTGCAAGTCTTCGAGAAGAGATATTTCAAGGCTGCCACGACGACCCGACATCTGGTCATGGGACTCCCGCGAGGATTCGAGAGTACTACTGACCCAGGCTTCCGAAGACTGTCCACTTATACACATGACTGTGCCAGGAATGCCACATGCATCATGCAGTAGTGTTCCCACGAACGCACTGTTTAACGATACTCATCCAGTTTGTAACAACCAGGGGCGGGCAGTGGTTGAGGCTCCGACAAACCTTGAAGCAATCTGGCAAACTGCCTCCTTACCCCCTTGCACGCTGGTAGTAATCCGATCACCGGCCACCCGAGTGACGCGGGAAAATAGTAAGTTTAGTTTGTACATAATGCAAAAAACCTAAAACTGAAAAAAAAAAAGTGCAAGAAGAGAGAAAAAAGGGGACTGGACAACGTCTCAAACTCAGCTCATAGACAACGTCTCAAACTCAACTCAGCTAAAACTTCAGCTCAAGACAATGTCTGAAACTCAACTCAGCTGAGTTTGAGACGTTGTCCTGTCCCATTTGTTCTGTCTTCTTATACTTTTTTTTTCAAATGTCATTCCCAGTCTCAGGATTTTGCATCATGGTCAACATACACCAGCTCGACTGCACCTTCACAATTTTTTAAATGCTTTGGAGGTTTATTTTGGAGCGTTCTACCATGCCAGTGTCGACGAAAGAGGAAAAACGGAGGGGCGGGGGGGGGGGGGGGGGGGGGGGAGGGGGAAGCGGCTCTTCTCCCCCCCCCCCCTCCCTTCAGGTATTTCGGACTGTTAAAGAAAACAATACGGGGAAAGAGGGCGTGGTCGAGCTTATTTTAATCTGAAATGATTTATGCAAATGTATAGCTACTGTCGCTCTTCAGTGTATAAAAGATCGCGTAGATGGTCATTGTTAGAAACTCGTTGTCAGAAGCCACTACTCGTCACATGGTTAGTAGTTCGGAAGTTCAAATCTATGTCTTTTCGGCCTAAATAACTGTGCCATTGGTAAATAAAAATAAAAATAAACATAACAACAAATGCGGGGATGAAAAGATGGAGAGAAAAAAATATCAAGAACCCGCCGGAAGTGTTGTATTCTTGCATATTCAGAGGCCCAGAAATTCGGAACAAGTTTCTCCTACCAAAATGTGTACAGGCTAAAAGAAACACGTCCCAAAAACGTAAAATGAAAAAAAAAAAGTGTTTTTTTTTTTAATGGCGTGCAGCGCTTGAAAAATATTAGAAATCTTGCCCCATGAGTCAATTTATTCCTCAACGTGAAAAGAAAAGAATAAATACATTATTTTGCATTCTGCAGATGGCAATGATAAGTACTGCCTGTGGTGTTAATTTAAATGCGATACCCCAAAAAATTTCGACGAAAAATATTACCAAGTTTAGGGCGAAATTGCCCGTAGATACATGTTTGGACATTTCTTCGAAACCCATCACGAACAACAATAATAATATCTTAAAGCGACACTCACCTAGGCTATATATAGATCATTCTTAAAAAGTTTAACATCTCTACCATAAATA